GATATATATATATATATATATATATATATATATATATATATATATTCCTTATTCCTCAATTAGATCATTAAATTAACTTAATTCAAGCAATAATATATAACTAAATTTTGATTTAATATTGTTGAAAATAAAACCAACAACCAACTTATATGATGATAAGGTTTGCAAAATAAACTTTATACGATGATACCAAAATAAGTATCTCTAAATATATTTGACTATATCTCTAATACCATGTCTCCATCATAATCCTAATAATGTATTTTTCAATTTTTTATTATTCCATTGATTTATGAAAATAAGTATTAGGGGTGGATGAAAGTGGGATATCCGAATTTTTTGGTACGGTTTTGATAATTTTTGAAGACATTGTCTCATTTTCAGTCTCGCGATATTTGAATACCCACTATTCGGATATCCGCGAAATCGAGATCGAAATCCAAAGAAAAGAATGGTGAAAAATTATAAAATTTCATTAAAGTTTATTGATTTCAAGGATATATAAATAATTTTATTTGAAAAAATATATGTCAAGATACTTTTCTAAATAAATAGAAAATCAAAATTATTTTGTTATTTTATAAATATTCGATAATCACAAAATAAAATATCTAGAAATAATAGAATTTGAACCTTAATCCGTCTTTTATTCTTTCTCGTCTCGTTGAATTCGGCATCACCTTCGAGTATCCGTAATCTCGTGTACCCGTAAGACTCCCAGGTATCCCGTAAAATTTACAACTTTTTAAACAAATCTAAATTTAATGGGACCTATATTACAATACACCCTATCCACAAATCAAAACCTAAAGGAAACGGGAACCATACAAAGCCTCTTCAACATAGCCGATGAATCGTTAATAATAAGTGTACGAGTGAATTTGTAGGATGGTGTAACAAAACAATGTGTACGAAATGCTACAAGTATATATAAGAAGATTTTACAAACTTGTACAAATAGGTACACGAGTACAAAAAAGATAAGGGATGTAAAAAAACAACAAAGAGAAATATATGTGAAAAGAAAACTTCAGTGTATTTTAAATTTTCAAATATTATTGATTGTGATGTAGTGATAAAAAAAAGAAATTTAACTTAATTTCATTTATTAATTTGTTGTTATTGAATTTTTGGCTTTCAATTTGATAAGTTTTATGTTATCACATTCGGTTGGTATGTTTGTTTTTGGATGACAAAGAGTTCTAAAGACTGAAATTCCTAAAAATGTTTTAGGGAAATTTGAAAAAATAATAAGATAATCTTTATGTGCTTAAGTTCTTTTTTTAAAAAAAATTATTTACATATATGTACTTTTAACATTTTAATTTAAATACCTATATTTCGTAAAATAGTCAAAAAGTTGTACCTAGTTTTTTTATAATTCTGACTGATCAAGTGATACAATTTTAATAAATTTACAAAGACAGATATTTTATCAGATTTATAAAGTGAAAATAATAAAATTTTTAAGTTTTGGATTTTAAAATATAAAAATAAAGATTGGATATTAACCTTTACTAAAACATAAATTAATATCTATTTATATTCAATATATTAATTTTTAAAAATACTCTTATCAAAAGAATATTTTTAATCTAATTATTATTTTTCTTTTTTTTTTCAGGTTATATTTAGATCTTTGATTGCTATTTTCCAAAGTCATTTAGATATTAAAAAAGAGTGAAAATACGAATTTGGATATTAATGGGCCAATTTTTTACCATGTTTTTGGTGGGCCCATAATTGCGTCTCCTAGTGAGGCACCTACCGCTAGCGGTGGTCAAAATATCCGAAAAATCCGAATCAATCCGTTATTCGATTCATATCCGAACCGAAAATTTGGATATCCGGAATTTACGGATCGGATACGGATATTTATTTAGAGATATTTGTCGGATATGGATCGGATACGGATATTAAAATTGAATTATCCGACATATCCGATCTGATCCGTATTTTATAATAATATTATTAAATATAAGAATAATTTGATATGGAGATTTAAAATACTTAATATTTACATATTTTTTAGGGTGATTCAAGAAAATTTTTATATATATTGAAGTTTATAATAATCTTTTGAATATTAAGATTTATTATATTTGTTTTGAATTTTGAATTTTGAATATATTTGTATGTGATAAATTATAATTATATTTATATTTGAGTTGATTTGAAATATTTAAATTATGAATTTTAAATTTGTGAATATCATTTATCTTAAATAGATTGTATATTTTATTTACATCTAAATTTTTTATTTAATTTAAATTTAAAATTTTATAATATTTTAGGTCGGATATGGATATCCACAAATATCCGTGATTTTTACGAATATCCGAAATTGCAAATATCCGAAAATTACGGATCGGATACGGATAACAAAATCGAATATTTGTGCGGATCGGATACGGATACGGATATCTCAAAAATCCCGGATATCCGATCCGTACCCACCCCTACCTACCGCTTAGGCGTGCTTCGGTTGACATTTGATTTAGTTATATAGGGATTTGGTTATTTCGGTTAGAGAAATATTAGAACCATTCGGTTTTTATATAAATTTCAGTTCGATTAGATTCGGTTATTTTTTATTCGGATTCGGTTCGGTTTTGGTAAAAGTTTATTTTTTCAAAAAAATTATCGGTTATTTCGATTATTTTTTTATTTGGTTCGGTTCAGTTCGATTTTGCTTTTTTGGGTTTAAAAAAATCATAATAATTCCGTTTTGATGTCTTATTCGGTCCGATTCGATTCGATTATTCGATTAATAACCGAATTTGTCATTCCAAACCACTAGGATTGGACGTTTTTATCTGACATCCACAAATTTTCAGATATCTGATTCACGGATATCCAAGATTAAATATGTGATTATAAACGAGATCGAGTATGAGATAAAACGAGACGAAAAACTCTGATATCCGGATAAAGGTTCATGTTTTAAAATAACGGTGGATAGTCAGTAGATATCCATTTACATTTAAAATAACTAAATTACCCCTAGAATTGTAAACATTTACAAAAATAACTAAGATCACTTTCTACTTTTTAACCTAACCCTAACGCATCACTCTCATTTGTCTCTCTCATCTCTTTGCGCCGTTCTCATATGTTCTCAATTCTCTCCACCGATTTGTCTTGATTTTACTAAAAATTACTGCGATTTCTCTTGAATCCCTTCGTTTTCGAGTTTGTTTTGCCTCTATTTCCATCACGAAAGGTAAAGATCCATGTTCTTCAACGATTTAGGGTTTTAAATTTGTAGTTTTGTGTACAGGCGATCGGAAAATAAAGAAAAGTCCGACCACAACGACCGAATTGATTATCTGGAAAAGAATCAATAGAAAAAGAAAAAATCCGGAATTTCGACCTTGTCACTCAAAAACATCAACTAATAAAGTTAAAAAAAAATTGTTTCAACAATTCTCGTTCTTTACATTTCTTCTTAGCGGCTTGGCCGGAACCATAAGCGTCCCTTGTTTCGAAGAGAAGAGGACGGGTTATGTAATTATTGGAATAATTGTTGGAAACTCAAATGGTGGATATGCTTATTTTGGATAGTTTTCGTTCTCTTCTTCTTCTTCTCTTTCATTTTTTCAGTTGACTGTTCCTCTTCTTCAAAGTCTTTCTGTGATAACATTTGATAGTCATGATTCGATTAGTTGATTTTATCTCTTCTTCGATGTATTAAACAATTTGCAGGATTTTGTGTCTATTTCCATATTTGGACAGTAATTTATACAACATTTTAGTTTGAAAACTAAAAATTGACGGATCCGGATATGGCCGGATATCTGAGTTTTGACGTCCGGATATCCGATTCGTATGAGACCGAGATCGAGATAATCTTTCGACTTAACTCGCGGGTCCGAAGCCTGAAGCCTGATAGACTAAAATTCGCGGATATCCGCCGTGCCCACCCCTAACTACCGCCATTGCATTCCCCTCTAAGTCCCTCGTCAGGTCGTCTTTCTCGGGATATTTTTATCTGCTCTAGGGTTTCTTTCGTCGAGATCGTATCTTGCCCAGTTACTTCTGCAGGTGCTTCTCTCCCCCATTTTGACATTTTGTATCGATCAATTCTCTCTTGGTTAAATGTGAGTTCGTTTCTTCAAGCATTTTGATTTTCCTTGGGTCAATTTGTTTTCTCGGAATTTGCTTCGTGCGAATGCGGTATTCAATGTTGTTGATTTGAGTCGAATATGGGGGTTTATTTGTTGGAATTTAGGTGAGTTCGATTTCGGAACAAGAACTTGGTTTCGGTGTTTGTGTGATTTGTTCGCTTATCTGCGAAATTGGGAATTGAAAATCTCCATCTCCAGTCCGTATTTATGTTGAATTCTTTTTGCGTTTTTTCCACATACCGTTAGGAATCTCTTCTTTCGGATTCGCTTTATGATGTTGAGTTTGTTAGTTGAAATTATATGGATTCATTTTGAACCAGCCTCTTAAAAAGCTAAATCCTTACTTGTCTCATGCTCCTTTGTGGGAATCTGAAGCATTTGGATTCTGGAATTCGTTTTATTATCCTCACAATTATCACGTTTTGTTGATTAATACGTATTGGCTCAAAAATTGTTCCTTCTTTCCAAGATTCTTGTCATTCTCATTCTTTGAATCTACGTTTGTTTCAGATTTTTAATGGTTAAAGCGTATAGACAAGAGCATGTATACAAGCACCCGTGGGAACGGGCGAGTTCTGCCTCGTGGAGAAAATTTGCCGACCCTGAAAACACATGCATGCTCTCCCACATCCTCGAGGTTGACGCATTGCACCGAAAACTTGACACTGAAACCGGGAAACTCTACAAGACACAATTCCTTACCATCCATGCTCCTGTAGTACCATGGTTCCTCCGCAAGATCGTGGGTCAGGATATCTGTCACTGTGTGGAATCTACAGTCGTGGATGGAAAATCGCGTTCTATGCAAGTACACTACATAATTTCCATAAGTAATGCTTATTTGCTCGTAAAAACTTATTTCCAAACCAATTTGGTTTTACCAAAGTTTCTTCATGCTCTCTTGGTTTAGACCATGCTTTGTATGTCATTATGTTGGGGTAGTTTGCAAAGTGATGAGTTATTATTTAATTTAGCCTACAAAATTTGAAGGAGCTTGAGTTGAAGGAAGCACTTATTTCTGGTTAAGAGCATAATCAGTTATATATTAGACCTGAGTTGCTTATTACCCGAACGATATTTGCTCGTCGTACCTTCGATTCAGTGAAACAGTAGCTGAAACGTTAATGAAATCAAGCCATTGAAAATATATCGGTACACTACATAGCTCGTTTAGATTGGTGTAATGGATAATCGTAATTCATTGCAGTGCACAATCAAGAACATAAGTTTCCAGGAGTGCATCGTAATGGAGGAGAGAACAACGTATGATCCACATCCTCAAAATCCGACGGCTTGGACAATTTGTAGGCAGGAGACGAGCGTTCGGGCCAAACCCTTGTTTGCTTTAGCCTTCATAGCCCAGAGACTTTGGAACTTGTTTTAGGATCGCTTAAATGTGTAAATCGAAAAGTTTGTTATAAACTTATTTGAACAATTTGATATTTCAAACGGACAGTCACATGTACTATTCAATTGAACCGTCTAAAGGATGTAATACCAGAAATCGTGACTATATATGCCCAAAGCAACTAGACTTTCGATTTTTGTTATCAGAAATAAAGGTCGATATTCGACATTCGGATTGGATAGCCAAACCAAATGGTTATAATATTTTTAAGATCTTAACCGAGCATAAAAATATTCAAAAAATTGCAAAATTTAGAAAAAAAAATATCATTAAAAATTGAATCTAAGCTTTAGTTCCGGTGACTGACTACACGTACCCCCAAACCATACCCGTAATTGCCACCCGTGTGGTGAAACTGAACATGACATTTATTATCATCTACTGATTCTTTTGTTTGTCGGGTTTGTGACCCAAACGAAGGGTCGAAGTGTTACCAATTATGTGGTTTAGAGCCCCTATAAGAGAGATGCACGTCTGTGGAGCAATTAATATTTACGGGTTTTTTTTTTTTTTTTTTGTATTTACACTTGCGTACTTGGTGTGAGTTTCGTTATCACTTCCTAGTTGCAATTTTTTTTTAATCTCCTATCAGTTATTTTATTTTTACGCGTTGCAATAAATTTTGTGAAAACAGCTTTGCTCAATCAGATTGAAAATTAGTTTCTAACTAGTTTGTTTCATTGAAAAAGATATATTTGAGACAAATACAAATAAAACTGTTATGGATGAATTTTAAAAAATAAAAAAAATTGTAGAATTAACTTGTAAAACAAAAAAAAAACATTGTTACAATATATTTTTATTAGTTTTTTTATATTTTACATATAATTTATATCCTGATAAAAATAATACTATTTTCAAAATAATATTTTTAATCTAAATTTTTATTATATATATTTTTTTTCATGTTAGCTTTCATTGCTAATTTCCCAAAAGTAATTTAGATATTAGAAAAGGGTGAAGATACAAATTTGGATATTAGTGGCCCAATTCTTTACCAGGCTTTTGGTGGGCCCATAATTGTGTCTTCCTCCGGTAAGGGAACAAACAAAACAATGGTTGATTCGTAAGAGATTGTTTCCCAAGTCTACACCGCCATTGCTTTCCCCTCTAAATCCCTCGTCAGGTCGTCTTTCTCGGGATATTTTTATCTGCTTTAGGGTTTCTTTCGTCCAGATCGTATCTTGCCCAGTTACTTCTGCAGGTACTCTCCCCCATTTTGACATTTCGTATCGATCAATTCTTACGTGGTTAATTGTGAGTTCGTTTCTTAAAGCATTTTGATTTCCTTGGATCGATCTGTTTCTCGGAATTCGTTTCGTGCGAATGTGGTATTCAATGTTGCTGATTTGAGTCGAATATCGGGGTTTATTAGTTGGAATTTAGGTGAGTTCGATTTCGGAACAAGAACTTGGTTTCGATGTCTGTGTGATCTGTTCGCTTATCTGCGAAATTGGGAATTGAACTTCTCAATCTCCAGTCCGTATTTATGTTGAATTCTTTTTGCGTGTTGGAAGATCTTATTTTCTTCTGCTGTAACAACGTTTTTCCTACATATCGTTAGGAATCTCTTCTTTCCGATTCATTGTAAGCTATTGAGTTTGTTAATTGAAATTTTATGGATTCGTTTTGAAACAGCCTCTTGAATAGCTAAATCCTTACTTGTTTCATGCTTCTTTGTAGGAATATGAAGCATTTGGATTTCGATTCTGGAATTCGTTTTATTATCCTCACAATTATCACGTTTTGTTGATTATTAGTCTTGGTTCAAAAATTGGTCCTTCTTTCCAAGATTCTTGTCATTTCAGTCTCTCCCCTGTTCGAAAATTTTGGGGTGTCTTATATGTACAAGTTTGTTTATTTGTATATGTGTGTCTACATATATGGAGTTGTTGTAGTTTGGTTGATTCACTTGATTGTTGCCTTCATGAACCTGAGGGTTTAAGTTCCCAGCTCATGCTGAGGTCTAGAAATATTTTTTTTTTCAATGTTTTTGTTCTGCTTTGTTCGTTAACATGATGAAATCATCGACAATGACATAGTTTAGTTGGCATTAACATTTTCACATTGTTATGGGGTACTTATTCTCTTTCTTTGAATCTACGTTTGTTTCAGATTTTTAATGGTTAAAGCGTATAGACAAGAGCATGTATTCAAGCACCCGTGGGAACGGGTGAGTTCTGCCTCGTGGAGAAAATTTGCCGACCCTGAAAACAAACGCATCCTCTCTCACATCCTCGAGGTCGACACTTTGAACCGAAAACTTGACACTGAAACTGGGAGACTCTACACGACACGAGCCCTTACCATCCATGCTCCTGGACCATGGTTCCTCCGCAAGATCGTGGGTCAGGATATCTGTCACTGTGTGGAATCCACAGTCGTGGATGGAAAATCGCGTTCTATGCAGGTACACTACATACTTTCCATAAGTAATGTGTATTTGCTCGTAAAAACTTATTTGCAAATCCATTTGATTTTTACCCAAGTTTCTTCATGGTCTCTTGTTTTAGGCCCTGCTTTGTTTGTCGTTATGTTGGGGTAGTTTGCAAAGTGATGAGCTATAGTTTAATTTAGCCTACAAAATTTGAAGGAGCTTGAGTTGAGGGAAGCACTTATTTCTGGTTAAGAGCATAATCAGTTGTATATCAGACTTGAGTTGCTTATTACCAGAATGGTATTTGCTCATCATGCCTTCGATTCGGTGAAACAGTAGTCGAAACACTAATGAAATTAAGCCATTGAAAATATATCGGTACACTCCGTAGCTCGTTTAGATTGGTGTAATTGATGATCGGAATTCATTGCAGCTCACAACCAAGAACATTAGTCTTCAGAAGTTCATCGAAGTGGAGGAGAGAATAAGGTATGATCCACATCCCGAAAATCCGACGGCTTGGACAATTTGTAGGCAGGAGACGAGCATTCGGATCAAACCCTTGTCGGCTTTGGCCTCAATGGCCGAGAAAGTTGAGCAGAAGTGCGCCGAGAAATTCATGCAAAACAGTGCCAAGGGTCGGGAGGTTATGGAGAGGATTTGCAAGTATCTCGAAGCAGAATCTTCGGGAATCTCGATCCAAAGGTTTTAAACTCTCTTCAAAGATTTTGTAACACTTTAGCACTTCGCTTCCGATCATTGGAATAACAAATACAGGGGAATATGATGAACCTTTGAAGTTTGATGTAATGTTCAATTATACCATCTAAAGGTAAAGGATGTAATACCAAATCATAAATTCGTGGCTATGCGTAAAGGAACCAGACTTTCGATATACTCACTGGGAAATCGTTTCAAATTTGGGTTTCGGATTGTAAACTTCAACAAAGGCAAGGTGAAGCTTGTGGTCAGCAGAAGCAAAAATAGAGGTGGATATTCGACATTCGGATTGGCTATTCATAAACCTCGCCGATTCAAATTCAATATAAATATTTTGGAAACCTTAACAGAACATTAAAGTAACCGAAAAATTATAAATTTATGTGGAAAAAAAAATTATCATTAAAAATTGAACCTAAGTTGAAACCAAAGCGGAAATCGAAACGTCCGCCCATAATATTTTTACAGTTTTTTTATGTATTTGGAATTTACTTAGTGTGTTAGTGTATTTATAACTTCCTAGTTGTAATTTTTTTATTTTCTGTCAGATATTTTTTTATGTGTTGCAATAAAAGATGCGAAGACAATTTTACATAATCAGATCAGTTTTAAGTGATTATTTAATTTGTTTCACTGAAAAAGATATATTTCATACGTTATAAATAAAATTGTCACCGGTAGATTTTTAAAAAAAATGAAAGATTATATGATTCAGTTGTAGAAGAAAAATATTTTTGTGATGGTGTATTTTTATTAATTTCCTATATTTTATATATAAATCATGTTTCCGATTAAAAAAAAAAAAGTTCTGGATCTGCCACTCTTTATATATGCATGTGACAATATTGATTGTTGTTTGATTTATCACGAATTGAGGTTGACACGACTTGACAAACGCATAAAATGGGGTGAAGCCCTAAATTTAATTAACAATGGGATTCACATTTCAAATTCTTTGTTTGAATTTGGTTGTTATTGGTTTTAATTTTTTCTATTAACAAAAATTTTCAATTTAGTTTATATCCAGATTAAAGTTTTCTTCATTATAAAAATAATTATTTAAAAATAATAATTTTCTTTTCATCCGTGTTTTACCGTTATTTCTACATTTAGCTCAAATTTATTTATTTTTATTTAAAATTTTTAACAAATCATATTTTAAATCGGATCCATTTTAAAGATAATTTTATATTATACTAGATAAGATCTACGCGATGCGCCGGTTATTCTTTTCTTATTATTAATATAAATTATTTGTTTTTCATCAGGAAAAATTATTGATATTAATAATAACAAAAGTGATATATATATATAATATAAAATTAAATTATATTATTAAATATATATATATATATATATATATATATTATTAAATCAATGATTTATTTTTGTTGTCTTTATTCACAATATTTTTGATGATTTTGAATTATGCATTCATATAAATTCTTGTATATGATGATGTATAAAGTGATAAAATACCTGAATCATAAAAAAAATATTAATTAATTTATATAATATTGATATTGTTCTATATATAATATGCTATGAATTTAAGATTTTATATGATTATTGTAATTTCTATCAATAATTTTTAGATTTACATCTATAACATTATAACATTAAATTTAACATTCAATTTGTGTGGATTTCTATTGAAAGATCATATGATACGGAGAACATTATAATGCTATTATTTTTAGATGAAATATAGGAAAGTTTGTTAAAAATTAAGTAAAAAATAAAAATTTCAAATTGTATATGTAAATTTCAAATTAAAAAACATCACTAATTCATTTATAATTTCTTATAATTTTATAAATTTTAATAAAATTGTGTATAATATTACTTACAAAAAATTATACAATTTATATTTCTAATTTTAATCAAAAAGAAATTTATTGTTATTAATTGTCCCTTAAAAACATAAAGTAATATTGATATGGTGAATGTTAGTTAAGTATAACATTTTTCTAAATTTATATATAATAATTTTAAACATATTTTATTACAAATTTTATATTACTATATTTTAAAAATTATATATTTTAAATTTGTTAAAAATTTCTAATAAAAATATATATACATAAATATTAGTAATAATTTAGTCTTAGTGAAAATTCTCACATCTGAAAAATATTCTATTCATATTTAAACACTTCCTTCATCTTGATCATATCTAACTATTGAGTATTTCAAAATTGACATCTATATATACATATATATATATATATACATATATATACATATATTCGTATATAGATATAAATACATATACATATATATAATAAAAAATAAAAATGTATACACATGCATACATATATATATAAACATACATATGTACAAACATGTATACATACATACATACACATACATTCATATATGCATATATAAACACAGAAATATACAATGTAAATACAAATATATATATATATACATATATATAGAAATACATATATGTTTATTTTTATTTTTTAATATTTATATTTTATTTTATTATCAGATACACCTATATATTTACATTTATATATATATTTATAAACATCTATTTAAACATATATATATACACATATAAATACATTCATATACAAACATATATATTCATAGATATATATATATATATACATAAATATATATATAGAGAGAGATACAATTTAGATGTAATCTTGTTTAGTAAAAAAATATCAATAATTTTAGTTTTAAATAAAAAAATTTATTCATATAATTGCAGAAACACAGTCTCAAACTTCGTTACGATAATACCATATGAAAAAATATAGACGATTCGATTCAATAAAAATATACATACATTCATATAGTTTCATTATCTTTTGTTTGAGTTTATGAAAATATGTTGTGTATGATTATACGCATTTCATGTTCCAATTTGGATATATAATATCATGAGAATCGTTCTTACTATAGGATTTACAGGATGTTGTTTATCAATGGAGAAGCAATGAATTTGGTATATCCTATGGCTACATCACTCGTTAGGTATATGAGATTTTCGAGTTTTTAAACCCGAACCCGAAAATGTTTTGAATCCCAAAAGATATTATTTGATTTTGAATATGTTTGGTTGGGTATTAAAAACTCGGGTACCCATGATATTTTCGAGGAGCCATGATATGCAGAATTGGACTCAAATACGAAATTTTAAATCTTTTTTTCAGAATAAACATCATATAGTAGGAGTTGATTCACATTGGAGATCCGAATTATATGAACTGGAGCCTAAAATTTCAGTACATTTGTATGCAATGTCTTCGGAATAAACATCTGATTATTATATTTTTTATTATTCATTTATCTATTTTCAAAACTTTTATTTAATTTTATATATTAATTTATTTCTTCATTTTAAACACTTCTAGTTTAATTTTATTCTGTATATCTATATAATATGAATTTCATTATTCTGCATATAATTTAAAATAAATAACATAATGAATAAATAAATAATAAATTAATAAAATAAGTAACCAACTTAAAAAAAATGTATGTAAATCTATCTACATACATATTTACGTACAATACTTTTTAGCATTTTGTTACATTTAATATTTTCTCGTACAAAGTGCCAAGAAATCCCACTTTTCCACAAAAGACCCCAAAAAAAACAAAGCCTCGTCGCAAACGATAATCTTCATCACTTGATCTTATTAACCCTGATCGGAATCTTCTCTTTCCTCTCGGAATTCGTTTCGTGCGAATGTGGTATTCAATGTTGCTGATTTGAGTCGAATATCGGGGTTTATTAGTTGGAATTTAGGTGAGTTCGATTTCGGAACAAGAACTTGGTTTCGATGTCTGTGTGATCTGTTCGCTTATCTGCGAAATTGGGAATTGAACTTCTCAATCTCCAGTCCGTATTTATGTTGAATTCTTTTTGCGTGTTGGAAGATCTTATTTTCTTCTGCTGTAACAACGTTTTTCCTACATATCGTTAGGAATCTCTTCTTTCCGATTCATTGTAAGCTATTGAGTTTGTTAATTGAAATTTTATGGATTCGTTTTGAAACAGCCTCTTGAATAGCTAAATCCCTATTCGTATGGATTCGCGGAAAGTTTCGGTAGTCGAAAGCCTCCCATTCATCGACACCGAACTCCATACCCACTTTCATTTTCCAATCCTATAGTCGGATTTCCAAACTCCGTCTCGATTCGGAACTCCTCGTCATCATCAGTTCTCTGACCATGGTTTGAGAGATGTTCAACGACCAAGACATCACCTTCGCCAACGCCCCCTCATGATATGAGCCACCACATACGGCGGAATCGACATCCTCTAAATATCGCATGGTTTTAAATTTTATTGAAATTTACACATGTACATAAGTATAATAAAACTTTTTTTGTTGTGGATCTCACTGATTATAAAATGGATCACCCATGTTTACACATTTTTATACTTATAAATATAAATATACACATATATGTACAAATAGGTATAGATATATGTATATATGTATCTGTATAGGTATATATATGAAAAAACAAAAAAATGTGTCCTTTTTATACAAACCGAAAACTGAACAAAGATTTGCCAAGTTTTCACTTTGGGTATTAATACTAAAAAATGGTTTAATTACTAATTAATTAAGAAATGGGAAATCTATAGAGCTTAAGAACGTAATCACTCAATTACGTGTTCATTCATCAACCGCGGACCATCACATATTCCGACAACAATCCAATGTCTCGCCAGCTCCGCAGATGCCTGAATTTTTCCTTCCAATGAACACTCTCGACGTCTACCTAACGTCAAAAAATCCTAGAAACAGAAAACATTGCGAAAACTCATTACCTAGAGGGATAATTTATGTTCATGGTGCAACCTATTAAACGTGCATGGTCCTTCCATTGCATTTTAAAAAATATTCTTTATAAAATAAACCTTTCGAACATGCCACCGAAAATGACCGCATCGTATGAAGTGCGATATCGCAGAAGCCACCGCCGGATCTTCCGAAACTCTACATTTATATGAATGAATGAATGAACAATCGAATTGGAGAAAACTGGGAATCCGTTAATACCTCCTATCATCACCGAAATCAACATCCAAAAATATCACCCTGACAGCCTCCTTATGACGGAGAAAGACCTTTAGCCCTCGACTTGTTCTCCTGAAGAAACTCTCCTTGTT